GGGATCCAGCCCACAACCCAGGCATGTGCCCTGACCAGGGATTGAACCCTGACCTCCTGGTTCATAGGTCACCACTCAACCACTGAGCCACACTGACCGGGCACCACTCAAAGATATTTAAGGCTAAACGTGTGATTATAGTATCACTGTACTATAACAAGTGCATCATTTCCAGATTAAATGTTATCACTCCCCCAAACATGGGAATTATGTGAAGGTGTTAGCTCAGCTTATTGTGGGATCTGTACGCAATGGATTCACTGACCAGATCATCCCGTCGTTACCTGTTAACCTTACACCTTAAGGTTACATCTAAACCTTTGCACCGTGTCACATGTCAATTGCATCTCCATTAAGCTGGACAGAATACACGAAGAGGCCTACATGTGCTTGTGGGGAGGTAATTAGGGCGGAGTTTTTACCCAACACGGTGGTGGGGCTGGTGGGGAGAATGGGCCACTCATTTTAATTTCTAAGTAGCTTCCTGACACAGAAATGACACTAATTATGACTCATCCTTCTAACTACGGACTTACTGTCCTGCAACTCCAAGTAAAGAATTTGCGCAAATATAAATATTTACAAGTCGACTCTATCCTATACAAATGAGTGTGAAGGCTTGATCACAAGCTGTCTTTTATAAAAAACCACCTTACTGGCGTGTTTGAAAGACACATTCGAGGCATTTCCTCCTTGGGGGTGCTCACACTTCGTGAAAGCTGGTAGGAACACCTTTATAAGCTGCGTTACACAATGCATCTGCAGCTAATGAAGAAGAAATGATGACTGCTCTGCAGGATGGATTAGGACACCGATTAGACCGTCACAGAAGTGCTTACCGGCGCCGTTCGAACACCTGCTCGGTAATGCCTGCGCCTGGTGCTCCTGCATCCCACAGTCCACGCTTAATTAGGAGACGGAGGGCGATTAAATAAGCCCGGACAGCCAGCTCGCCTTACGTGTTTCGCCTTCTACCTTGGGCACAGCTGTAAGGACTGGTCATTCCCTTTACAGGGAAAGCAACGGAAGAGACATCTGTGCTCCCCCGAGGCGGGTCCTGATGGCCAAGATGAACTCCCTTCAGAGAACGGTGGCTGCAGACGGTGGAGAGGCAGCAGGTGGAGTGGGGAGGGAGGGCTGGTAACGTCCAGGTCCGACTTCTCCCGAGGCCCCGGGCCCGTTTCTCTGCACTCAACACACGCAGTTCCCTCGGGGTTCCGCCGGGGCACTGTGGGAACCCTAATCAGAGCACACCCACGATCAAGGCCAATTCGCCATACGCATGCGTGCAGGCGAGGACACGGCAGTATCACCAGGTGAAAGGCCTCTTTGCCCTACGCAGGGGCGAGGGCAGTGACTCAGTAGTGGCAATACACGCACTGCACAGGCGCACCCTCAGGGAACCTGTTTGCGTTAATGTCGCACGAGGGTCACTATTGGGCACGAGGCCTCTTTTGTGTGAGCGTGTGTTTCCGGTGCCACTGACCAGCAGTGTGCGGCCGCTCTGAAGAACTACTTTGTCTGCTGGCTCCTGTAGAGGCAATGGCTACTCGGTCTACCATAGTCTCTCCTGTCTGTGCCTGCGGCTTCTCATGTCTCCATCTCATACTGGCATCCGAGGACCTGTGCTCCCACCTATAGGCGCCCCGCAGTCTTGGGTGCCGCTACCCTGGCACGCGCACTCCATGCCCCTACGCTGGCCCGGGACTACCCTGGAGGCCTCCACAGCAAGCTGCATGCACACCCCGAGGGCCAGTGAGAGGGAGGCCCTCGCGTTCCAGAGGCGCTCCATGGCAGGCAGGGTGGACCCCACCCGGGAGGCGTTCAGAGGGCACGTCCTGGCCCTGCCCCCGACCCACGAAAGCAGAACCCAGGCTTTCCTGGATGCCCATGAATTGGCGATGTGTTGCCCTCGCCACGCGACCCCAGGGGGATGGCCGCTCAGCCAGAGGTTCTACCCCTGGCAACACCCTGGGAGGCGGTAACAAGCACCCCTTTGTTCCTCACTAACCTTGGGGCTCCTGCGCTGCCCCTGGGAGACACCTTGCAGCCCCTGTGCCTAGTCGATCGACTTTATTTCTTAAATAAACTGTAATTTTATTTCCAAGCAATTTCTGTGCCCCACGGGGCATGAACATACATACAGAGGGAGGCATTTCCACGGTGGGGGGGGGGAGGTGCGGGCTGGAAGTCAGAGTCACTTGTTGGGGTTTAAAGGGTGATTCATGAGTCTTTGGACAGACAGGAGCTACCCACGGGCGGCCGCCGAATTTATTTACAGGCAAAGCCGGCACCACCAAGAGTGATGAGCTGTATTGTGCTGATAAACGGCGAGTTAAAAATAAAGGATGGAGGGAGAGCTGTAGGTTAAGAGAAACTTAGGAGATACATCAGATTTAAATAGAGGGGCGAGACTGAGGCGTCTGAGGATGCATATTTGGGGGTAAAAACCAGTTCCTGTGAAGTCAGGATGAGGGCTGCTCACGAGGCAGGAAGAGAAGGAGCTGGTCGATGAAGGCCAAGGCCAGTGAAGGAAGGCTTACATTGTGTTGTGTGGTCTTTCTGTAAGAGCCATTTATTGTCTTATAAAAGTTATAAATAGCCAAGGAAAGTCTGGTAGGAGCGTTTAGTTCTACCGAGAGCTGGCATATCATCTTCTCCGTACCGGTACTAGTCAGAAACTAATCTTTTTTTCTGGTGTATTTTTTTCAAATATTTAGAACCTTTTCTATCACAAGGGATGCTTAAAAGCCAGGCTCTCTAACCCCAACACCAAAGAGAAAGTCTATGCAGGGCCCGGCAAATTGATGCCAATCTGTAAAAAAAAAAATACTTGTCAAAAATATACAAGTAGCTGCCATCAACCAAATAAAGTCAGAACAGACTCGATACCATCATTCTACAAAGTGAATTTTCTGCCTCCCCTCTCTGCCCTCCCTTCCCGCACCTGCTATGCCTCGACTAGAGAAGGCATCGCGTCTTACAGGCTGGGTGTACTCAGTCGACAGGGTGCACACCTACTTCTGAAAATATCCTGTTACAACACAGAGGCGGGAAAAATAGAATCATTCCGGGGCCCTTGCAATGTTCCTTTGGACCATCCCCTAATTCATCACGGACAGGCAATCTGATTGTTATAAATTTTATTAGAATGATAGAAAAGAATACATACAGATAACCATAGGATACACGCACAGAAATGTAAAGATACTTTTTATACTTTTCAATATGAAACAATGTACAAATCTCATGGAGATATCTTGCTAGAAACGCCATAGGACACAGAGCAATGGTGTTGAAGATGGAAGCATAGGAATCACTATGTCATAAAGAGGTACCGCTCCATTACGTGGGGCTGCACATACCGGTACTGGAGAGGGCGCGGCCTCTGTTTTTGACTGAAGGAGCAATGGTTAGATTTTTCCTCGGTATTTACAGTATATACAGACCTTGCGGAGAGAGTTATACATATTCTTCTCCTCTGCGTAGGACGACTTTATCTTAAATGAAATTTCTAAACGTAAAAGCAAGGCTTTATGCTTTCTGGTACATGAAACTGTTGGCTTCAAATTCTGAGAATGCTGCAGAGAAGAACAAGTTTCTGCAAAAATGTGAAATTGGTAAAAAAAAAAAAAGAGAGAGAGGTAAAAAATTGTTTTTGCCTCGTCTGACACTCAATCTGCGGATTTCACGTTATTCTCTGCATATTGCTCTGAAGCCGCGTCCTTGAAAAGCCTTTGAAAACCGCACACATCACAGTCAGCAGCCTCGCCCGGCTCTATTACAAATTTACCGCAGGAACGAAAAAGCCTGCCCGACTCTCCCAGATAGACCGTTGGATTTCATTTAAGAAAAAAAAGCCCATCTCTGTCACCCCCAAAAAGAGAGGGCCTCTTAATGGAACCCGACATTGGAAATGAAAAGCCGTGTGGATTTTGTTTAATGTCTGGGTTGAGATTCAGGTCCTTCCTTCTCGTGCCCACGGGGTTTTAATAAAAGCTGCAACTTGTTCCTAGGCGTGAAGGACACAAGTCATGCTTATTATTATTTTTTTTAATTTTTGAGAAGGAGAAAGTGTGACCCTTCCAATTTCACAGCGTCTTTGAATGAAACAAAAGCCCGCTCTGGAATGGGCTGCGGGCTGTGAAAACGCCGCGGTCCCCGCATCTGCTGTGAACACACTCGCACCGTGGTCTGCACAGCGCAGGCAGCCCTGCTCACGCCTCCTTCCTTCTCTGTTCCAAGTCCTTCCCGGGGCCGAGGCAGGTAAGGGGGGTGTGACCGTCCCCACGGTTTACAGATGAGTTTTGGGTGAAGTGGCGTGGGAAGAATCCCACCCCCTCCCTAGGACCCTGGGGCCCCCAGGGCAGCGTTTTCCAACCCTCCTTCGAATCCCAGGCGCCCTCTTCAGGACAGGGCAGTTTCTAAAGGCGTTTTTGACCCCTTTGAAATAACACTGACCAACTCTCCCAAGCACTGCTGCTCTGGCGGGGAACCTTACTTTTGGACTCAGCGAGCTTCTTTGCATGAATGAAAGACACAACAAACAGACGTGTGTCCGCGTGGGAGGATGGGTGTCTTCACCCACAGGCAGTGTGTAGAACCATCGCTTACAGACACCTCTAGGGTGTCCCCCCAAAAATGTGTACCCCCTTCCACAGCCCATAGCTCCATTTTGAGAATGAAATGTATTTTAATAAACACCGCCTTGATAGTTATTCAACGTGTGTGTTGAATTTTGGGGGGATACCCTCTGTATCAAAAGTCTGAAATACATAATATATATAAAGTCCTTTGGTTTATCAAGTATTAAGGCATTTCAGATTCCCCTAAAAGGATGTACTGCTTGTCTTTGAATTATATTTGTATTTTACCTGCGTAGAAAGTTAAAAATACAGAGTTGGGGGTGGGGAGAAACCATGCATAATCACTGCATTTCATGAAAGCACTTTTTTTTTGTAACCAATTAACTTGCAGTAAATAGTAAAAAAGAGTTGTTATCACCACAGGGCATGAGCCACGCACAGGACTGCCGGCAGGTAGCGTGACACGGGGTGGACGTTGGCGATGGCCGACGGGGAGCCCCTGGCGTCCGAACCTGTCGAGGTGAGAGACAGCTGGTTACTACGGCTCCTGCATCACCGGCCACAGCAAGACCCCACTCTTCCTCTCAGAGCAGGAAGGACCACACGTCATGATCAGCGCCTTCTGTTTACAGTGGGGCACATGTTAGCTGCCAAGGGGATCTATGAACACACTGGTCCCTCCCCTCCCCTCCCCTCCCATTCCCTTCCTCCCCTTCCCTTCCCTTCCCTTCCTCCCTCCTTTCCTCCTTCTTTCTTTTTTAAAGTATTTTTAAAATGGATATCAGAGAGAGGGAGGGAGAGGGAGAGGGAGAGGGAGAGGGAGAGGGAGAGAGAGAGAGAGAGAGAGAGAGAGAGAGAGAGAGAGAAACATAAATGATGAGAGAGAATCACTGATAGCTGCTCCCTGCACGCCTCCTACTGGGGAGTGAGCCTGCAACCAGGGTATGTGCCCTGACTGGGAATTGAACCTGTGACCTCCTGGTTCTTGGGTCCACGCTCAACCACTGAGCAACACCGGCCGGGCTGTATTTACGTTTTCTTAAACAATTCTAGGCTTTGTTCGTACACTATCACTTAACGTTAACTGAATCTGAGAAAACAGCTTAATTTTGAAAACAATTCTACTCGATGACACACACAACTGAGATCAATGGAGGGTTTCATTAAAGCAAGCTTCCCTGGGCAAGTGGGGGGGGGGGGATCCAAATGGATGGTTTTGCTACATATTTCTCCACATCTTTTCTGTCTTCCTGTCTTCCCCTTCCCGATTTTGCACGACTCGTGAGAAATTAGTTCCCCCTGCTCACCCCTCACCCCCCAAACTGTCTCAGCACCCGATGAACAGAGTGTGGGGAAGGAGTGGACAGACGGGCCCTGAGGACTCGGGGTCCCCAAGGGTGTTGTGGGGGAGAGCGTGTGGCCTGGCCGCTTACTGGTTCTCCTCGGGATCCTGACAGGCGCGCTGCTGGCCCCGTCCCCTCCGGCCGTCGTGGCCCGGACGTGGACGACGTAACCCTCCTGGACGGGCAGCCGCAGCTCAGCCGACGTTCGGTTTGTGCTCAGCACCTGCAGGCCGCCCTGGCCGCTAGTCCTGTAGAACACCTGGAAGGCGCCAACACACACTCCTGTCGCCCACGTTTGCGTTTCTTGTGGGACTCACCGCTCTGGCCTTGTGCCTGTCATCTCTACCCGCCCAGCTTAAGTCCCATCCTCAGCTCTCTCTCTCCACGGTGGTCGCCCGGGGTTCGCACGTGGCAGGGCCATCAACCACAGCGTCTGGGAGGGTTAGGGTCGCCCGGAGAGCTGAGCGGGAAGGTGTCCGGGTGGGGACAGGCCCCCTGCCCTGATCTCGGACACACATGGAGGACCAGAGACAATGCTTCTCATTGTGTTTTCTTAAATATGTTTGTTGTTGTTGGTCCTCACCTGAGGGTATTTTCCCATTGCTTTTTAGAGAGAGTGGAAGGGAGGGGGAGAGATACACACAGAGAGAGAGACATCGACGTGAGAGAGACACATCGATTGGTTGCCTCCTGCACATGCCCTGACCAGGGCTGGGCACTGACGAAGGCCTGGGAATCTAACCTGCAACCACCGTACATGCCCTGGATCGGAATTGAACCATGGATGGGCCAAAGCTCTATCCACTGAGCCAAACCTAAGGCTCAAATATGATTTGCTGATATTTTTGAGAGAGGAAGGGAGAGGGACAGAAACACAATGAGAGAGAGGAACATTGATCAGCTGCCTCCTACACGCCCCCTACTGGGGATTGAGCCAGAAAACCCCGCAGGTGCCCTGACCAGGAATCAAGCTGTGACCTCCTGGTTCATCGGTCAACGCTCAACCACTGAGCCACACCAGCCAGGCAGTTTTCATTGTTTTTAAAGTCGTCCATAGGTAGCATCAGAAGCAGCAAACTCACATAAACAATTTACAAACGTTTCGTCCAAAACCCCCATGTGAGCAGAATTATTTCACTTTCATTGTATCTAAGGAATCAGACATTTTGGGAACAAGCCTTTTTCATAAAAGGCTTAACATGTGAATGACGTCATTACCTGTATTCAGAAGCCGTACCTCCCTCACGGAGGAAATTGAGCCCAGCTCCCTGGAAAGCCCCGGTGGGAGCCGAGACCACCACGCCACTCACCTTGTACCCCGTCACTTCTGACTCGTTCTCCATGGCTCTGACCTGCTCCCAGCTCAGGAACACCTTGGCGTCCGTGGCGTTCCAGACCACGTTTCCCGGCGGCTGGCTGGGCGCTGGAAGTGAGAGTGAGGGGTTAACAAGGACCGAGCTCGGAGGGATCTGCCCCCGGGGCAGAGAAGGGGCCGTCAGGGAGGCAGGGGACCTGCATCTACCCAGGGGGATGCACGGCGTGCGGGCGGAGCCAGAAAACCTCAAGTGCAAAGCGGACAGAGCCGGTCAACACACGTTTCTCAGGTGGACACACGTGTCATCATCAGTGCAGCCACAAACCAAGACCACACTCAGGCACCACCTGTTCCGAGGACCCTGGGGACAGAGCGCTGGGGACAGTGGCGATGGAAGCGGGTGGTCTCTGCCCGAGGGGCCCACACTCCAGCCACGCAGGGGGAGAGACGGCGGTAACACAGGCGGGTGCTGCGCGGGGTCAGAGCCAGGAGGGCGACAGGAGTGTCGGGCGTGTCCGCAGACGGGTGAGGGCCACACTTCCCAGCCGGGGGCGCCCGTGGTGGCGCTGCGGCGACATTGGAGCAAAGGCCAAGAGGGCACGGGAACTTGCCATGTGGGCACCAGGACACAGGGCTCCCTGGGCAGAGGGCAGAGCCTGTGGGAGTGGAGGAGGCCCGGGTGGTAGGAAGTGAGCCGAGGACTGCCGCCGGCCTGGGGGGCATTTTGGGGGCCTGGCCTGTGTGCAGGGGGTGCGAGGCCAGGGTGGGAGCAGGCTGCGCAGAGGGGCCTGGCCCGGACCCGTGCGAGGGCTGCACTGGACGGCAGCGAGCGCAGGGGCGGTGGGTTCTCCATCACTTGCGGGCACGCGGGAAAGAGAAAAATCGAGGGTAACGCTGAGATTTGCGGCCTGAGCAACGGAAACCCTGGGAAGAATGCAGAAGGGACACGTGTCATGGGGTGGGCGGAGCATCAAGAGCGCAGTTTTGGGAAAATGCAGTTTGAGATCTCCCGAGAGGGTCTGGGGGTGCCGGCTGACCCATCCATGTGGGGCGCCAGGGCCCCTGCTGGCCGTCCGGGTGGACAAAGCAGAATATTAGCCCTGCGCCTTCGTCCTCGCGATCCCTGGACATGGGATTCTCTGTGTTTCTTTTCAGGAGCCGATGGATTTCTGGGCCGCCTGCCGGTTTCCTCAGCGCCTCTGGGTGGAAGGTGCTCCGAAGAGCTGGCTTTGGGTTGCAAGTGACAGAAGCTCATCTTATCAGAGAGGCTACTTAGTGTTTAAGAGAAACGCTCTCGAAAAGCACAAGCAGTTGGAGATCAAAAATTCAGTGTTCAGCGGCAGCCACATTACTTGAGAGTCCCTGTATTATTGTACACGGATAAAGAGAGAGCAGCCACGATCTGTATGATGCAAAGCCACGCACACCGACTTCCGTGATTATGGCGACACAACGCTCGCACGTTTTTAAGCAAGATGGTGAGGACTCCAGTGAGTGCTTTAAAATCACAATTTTCAGCCAAAAGGAAGTATATTTGATTCCTTTTAATATTTCAGGAGGCCAGGGTGGTAGGAAGTGAGCCGAGGACTGCCGCCGGCCTGGTGGGCATTTTGGGGACCTGGTCTGTGTGCAGGGGGTGCGAGGCCAGGGCCTGCTTCTGTAGATTTCCGCCACTAATCGAGATGTAATGAGTGGCTCCCAGGGCCACGCCGGGCACAGGGCTGGGTGAACAGCCAGCCAGCGAGTCATCAAAGCCCTCGGTTTAGTTCTTGACGCCCAAAGCATGCCGCTAATTGTCTCCCTGGAGTTAACCACAAAAGCCTTACCAAAACCCGCAAGTAGGATTTGCAGCTAAAGCCACTTCAAAGGTTAGGACGACAGTGAAGGAACTATAATATCGCAAACAGCTTTAAGAGATTCTGTTTCATGGGTATCGTGGTATGTTTGAAAAATGACTGACACGAAATTTAAAAACTAGCCATGTTCTTTTTATACAATGTTAGGACGATTAGAGATTTTTACTAGTAGAAATATATTTATTTTTTTATTGATTTCAGAGAGGAAGGAAGAGAGATAGAAACATCGATGATGAGAATCATCGACCGGCTGCCTCCTGCACGCCCCATACTGGTGGGGATCAAGCCCGCAACCCGGGCATGTGCCCTGACCAGGAATCGAACAGTGACCTCCTAGTTCATAGGTTGACCCTCAACCACTGAGCCATGCCAGCTGGGCTAGGGATTTCAGTTATCTCTATATTTCCCACTCAATGTGGGAACGTGTCCATGGTAACAGCCACGGCCAACATGCAGGTGCCTGATGAATTGTGGAATTTCCAGAGATTTTGTTCCATTGGTAGAACTTCCATCATTGCACAGCGCGTGTGCACAGCAGTGCTGCCTGTCTCAGATCACCCCTCCCGGGTCCTGGGCACAGGGTAGAGTCCCAGTAACCTGGTGTTGAATGTTACACGAATATCCGTGTCAATGGAAAGGGCACGGAGGGCAGGACCGGGTATGGGTGGCTGTCCCACTCCTTCCTCTGTGATCTGGGGACAGTCAGGGGCTGCGTACACCTTGGCGCCCTCTCTCTAAGTTGAGAATTAGGGAATTTGATGCTTGAGACGTTCACAGAACAGTGGAAGCGTCAGCCATTAAAATCATAATCGTGCCCGGCCAGCGTGGCTCAGTGGTTAAGTGTCGACCTATGAACTGGGAGGTCACGGTTCGATTCCTGGTCAGGGCACATGCCCGGGTTTCGGGCTCGATCCTCAGTAGGGGGCGTGCAGGAGGCAGCTGATCAATGATACTCTCATCATTGATGTTTCTATCCCTCCCTTCCTCTCCCTTCCTCTCTGAAATCAATAAAAATATATTTAAAAAATAAAAAAATCATAATCACTATCCTTATTGTTTCCTGCAATTTCCACATTACACTGGGTGTTCATGTACCATCGCTCAATCATGAAGGGTTTTGCTTATTTTTATTTTTTCAGTCACCCTATGTTTTATTTTTATAAACTTAACTTTATTATTGAAAATATTACAGTGGTTTCTGCTTCTTTTAAAAAATTTACTTCTCTCCTATGCACGGCCGCCATATTCCTACTGATTTATAACCAGCCCCCTCCTCCGGCCGGGTCAGTTCACCGAGTCCCTCGCTGGTCCCAGGGTGGTGTCTCGTGGGTTTCACAACCACCGTCTCCTGCCAAGTACTCACATCAGTTCCCAAGTCAGGGAAAGAGCCGGATAACCTGTTGCATATATTTTTGCCATAGGAACTTTTGATGGACACTGTGCTTTGAATATGGAATGACGTATATTTAAATCTTACCAATTCACAATAGATGTTGGGAATACCAAACATACCTAACGATGATATTTTCAGTTTACTTGCAAACCCACATGCTCCATGGTCTAACTCCAGCCTGGTGCTGGGAATGAGTCCCCGCGAGCACAGCTAACAGACTCGGCTCAGGGCAATGCTTTCGCCTGGTCCGGTTTAAAGCGTCCCTCCGGGACCCACCGCTGAGGGTAACCTTTTACTCTACGTTGCCATCTTTCAAACAACGTAGGAGAGAGAGGAAGAGAAATCACCTCTGATCCCTTGACATGAATGTTAACTTTCTCACACTTATCAGAAATCCCAAGCCGAGTAAGTTGGTCAGTTTAAGAGAAAAGCAGACGTACTTGACTCAACACCTCACACTGAGCTTTCCAAACGGGGGCCGTGCCCGTTCCCCTGAGGTTTGGGGGATCGGGAAAATGCGTGTAGCTGTGTGTTTGCAGGGGCTGAGCTGGGCTGGCTGCCCCCACACACAGAAGCTGCCATTCCGGATGCAAACTCCCGCCGCCCCCCCACCCAACACGCAAGATACCTACGCGTCTTCTTGGTGGTGGCATTCACCGTGGCGCTGAAGGGCCCGGCACCCGCGCTGTTGTAAGCCCGGACGGCTGCGTGGTAGACCAGGTGGCTCTTCAGCCCGTGGAGCCGGGCCGCGGTCTCCCCTGCCACCACCTTCACTCTGCGTGGCGAGCCCTCCTCTCCACTGGTCCAGTACCACACCTGGGGGCCGAAACACGACAGGTGCCCCCTTCACGCTCAGTGGCTCTCACTAAAGTGGGCGCCCTGATGTATGTCATTGTTTAGACAAGTATTGGCAAAGTGCCTACTGTGTGCTGCACACAGTGGGCTCTGAGCCATGGAGGCTCAAGGAGGAGACAGTACCTGGAGAAAGGAAAGGAGTTATTTGTCTACAGATGCCAAGGCCACCAAGAAAGGAAGATCGAGAGCTGAGGACCATCCTAACGGCATGGACGTTCCCTGAACGCGAACCGGACAGGCCGATCTCACCCTCGTGTCTCGGTCAAGCCTTCTAAAAACCGTGCCCAGGGGATCCAGTTCCTTTTCGATGGCTATTTTTTCCCTTTTCTACCCCAACTAACGTTATTTTCATTCAACTTGTTGGGTTCATTTCAACATCCCTGGATATTCACATGGGACCACGTGCTGGTGAAATGCCAGTGAAAGCCAGACGGTAGCTAGGACGTCACTGTAAAAAAGACGGACAGGGACGGAGCGAGGGGTGTGGCACCCTCCAGACCGCGCTTCAGAGAGCAAGTACCTCGTAGCCGAGGAGATGGCCACTGCTCAGCTTCCACGGGATGGCGCTCCAGGACACCTCAATTTCCGAGGAGGACAGGCTGTGGGCCCAGACGTGAGCTGGAGCCGCTGTAGGTTCTGCTTGGAAACACCAACCAAAATACAATGTTGGCAGGAAATTTTAAAAATCTACTCAAGTTCTTATTGTCAGAGAGCAGGTTAATACATATGAAAAGTCATAGGCTATTCAGTAAAAATTATTTAACATCACGAACCATGTCATGAAAACAGAGACACTGGCCCACTTCCGTTCCTCAGGGACAGGGGACACCAGAGCCACGGCGTCTCCTGGCTCAGGGGCCACGGTGGCCTGGGCTCCCTGCTCCTGCCTGCCCCCCGCTCCTGGCCCAGCTTGTCTCCCTCTTCCCCTCTGTCCTCTCCACCCACCACCATGCCTTCTCTTCACCCACAGCTCCTGCTGGGAGCCCCTGTGCCCACAAATGCTACTGATTCCTCTTCTTTTTTAAAATAATTTTTTATTGACTTCAGAGAGGAAGGAGAGGGAGAGAGAGAGATAGAAACATCCATGATGAGAGAGAATCATGGATCGGCTGCCTCCTGCATTCCCCCTATTGGGGATCGAGCCCACAACCTGGGCATGCACCCTGATTGGGAATTGAACCGTGACCTCCTGGTTCATAGGTCAACGCTCAACCACTGAGCCACGCCGGCCGGGCTGATCATCCTTTTGTGACTTGCCAAGGTCAAGGGCTCCAGAGTTCATTCATCCCAGAAGCATTCAGCGAGCACCTTCTCTGGCCTAGGCCCTCGCACACTCACACACTCGCACACTCACGTGGAGGGTGGGCCCTCTGGAAGGTGTAGACACACATGCACAGTCCCAGGTCCCCCCTGTAACAGACAGCCCCGGGGAGGGGGCGGCATCCTGGGTTCCCAGGGACCCCCCTCTAGGGCACAGCTCTGAGAGGAGACTCCTCCCCCAGAATCCACTTCTTTGTTAACCGACCCAGCTCCCCACCACGGACCTGACCAATAGAGACAGATTCCTGGCCCAGCCTGGGCCTCAGAGATGCTTCTCCTGGGGATGCGAACGTTGGTTTGGGAAGACGAGGAGAACTCGGGGCCTGTCAGTCCAGGTGCCCGAGGCAGCCCGTCCGGGCCCCAGGGCATCTCTGATGAAGCCAGCCCCCCCTGCCCATGAGGCTTTCTGTTTACCTCCTCCTTGGACTCAGTGAGAGATCCCAGTATGTTTCCAGTAAGTCCCTCGCCTTTTTCATAGACAGATACCAGCCTTTCCTGACATCAGGAACAGAGAGGCCTTCACCCAAGTCCTCAGTGGAGGAGAATGAGAACAGGAGAAGGAGAGTGTGGGAGGCAGGAGGGGTAAGGCGTTTCTGCCCTCCCCCCCCCCCCCCACCGGGGACCTCCAGGCCAAGAGCTCCCCGGTTGACTGCCATCCCTCCCGGGGACCCCAGACCAGGTCTTGTCCTGAAAACCCCAGCAGGGCTTGCAAATGGGGTCTGGCTGTGAATATGTAACAGCTCTTTCTTTTGCAAAGATGTTTGTGATACATGTTTGCTTTCTACTCAGCAGAAAAGGAGAGGATAAGAGGGGTGGGGTAGGAAGAAAACCTGGGTGACTTTATGCTTTCAGGCAGGGCAGCTCGGGCCTCTGGGGGAACTGGCCTCAGAGGAGACCCTGTGAAATCTGTTTCCTGAGCTCAGAACAGTGCAGAGCAGAGGCCCCGGGTCAAAATCCTGGCTCAGGGCATCTGCGTGGGTTTGGGCCCATTTCCTCATTTCTCCCATCAAGCTTCCCTTTCCTCGTGTGTAAATGAGAAATCATAACCGCACCCACAGGTCTCTCCTCCCTGGAACACTGCACCGAGGCAACACCGGCCGAGGGGAGCACTGGACACCTGTGAACTCAGGAGACAGCGCTCCGCGGCTCCTGACCTATGAAGCACAATCGCCATGCGTGTACCTTCCTCTGCCGAGAACACGGTGGCCACGGGGCTGAACGGCCCTTCGCCCTTGTTGTTGTAAACGCCCACTTTCACTTGGTACGGCGCGAAGGGCACGATGCTCTCGTTCCTGAACACGTATCGTGGGGCGTCGGGGGACGTGACCACGGTCTGGATCCAGGTGGTGACTCCCAGGGGGCGGAAGGCGACGACGTACCCAAAGCCCTCGCCATTCTGCAGCTCCTCGGGGACCGGCTGTGACAGAGAGAACTCCGGTCACCTAGGGGACCAAGGCTGGGTGCGTGCCGCTGCCAGCCCGGCCTGCAGGGGGCGCACCAGGGAGGAATCCACACAGTATTGCCTGGGTGCTAAGCTAAGGGGAAGCACAGTGGGACCCACGTGGGCACTTTCATTCTGAAATTTTCCAAAGCTGTTCATGTGTTTGAGCATGATGTTTTCTGCCTGAGTTCCGTATGATGATGATAATAAGAATGATGATGGTAATAACAATAATAGTGAGTGGAATAAACACATCTCCTATGCCAAATAAGTATCACCTTATCCCTCATGTTGACTTTAGGAACAGAAACCACACATGGACATGACAATTAAGTACAAAACCGTAAAACTAGAAAAACGGGAAATAAAAACGCGTACCCACTCAAGGCTGCATTTGGGTCACATCACAAACTCCTACTCCCATCCCATCACGATCTCGACTTTTAACGTTTTTCAACGTCTTTAAATCGTAGAGACGATGCTAGTGCTTCTGCTTTAAATGTGCTCATTGAAACTGTTCCTAACTGTGACATCCAGCAGCAGCTGAGAGGAGGGCCAGGCAGCCAGCACCTGCGGCGTCAGGGGCGCGTCCCAGGGGGGGTCCCTCACCAGCGAGGGCACAGCTGCTCCGGACGCCGCATGGGCAGCTGGGGGTCAGCAGCCAGGACCGGACTCTCCCCCTGGGTTTCCCAGCCCGATGACCTCGGGCAAATTATTTAATGACTTTACACCTTAGTGTTCTGTCTATAAAATGTCACAACGATGTAATTTTTAAAAATATGAAAAATGCTAGGCCCAGTGATTAGCCGGCCTGAGCTCTAAAAGCATTAGCCTCCTGGCTGGCGTGGCTCAGTGGTTGAGCAATGACCTATGAACCAGGAGCTCACCGTTCGATTTCCTGTCAGGGCACATACCCGGGTTGCGGGCTCCATCCCCAGCAGGGGGTGTGCAGGAGGCAGTCAATAGATGATGTTTTCTCTCATCAATATTTCCATCTTTCTCTCCCTCTCCCTTCCTCTCTGAAATTGATAAAAATGTATCTTTTTAAAAAGCACTGGCTGCCAGCAGGACCCCAACAACCCCCCTAGCACCCCTCCAGGCCCTGAGGACTGTGAGAACAGCAGGATCCCAGCACCAGCCCCCCAGGAGCCCCCCACTTGAGGCCCCGAGGATTATGGGATCAGCAGGGCCCTGAAGGGAGATTCGACCCAGACACTCACCTCCCAAGTTATCACCAGTTCGGACCGGCTTCCGCCTCCCCCACTGACCTCAGAAGGAGGCACTTCAGGGACTGTGAGGTTAGAGAGACAGAGGTGAAACCCTACCTGCCTTTGGCAACGTGTGCCTGAAAGAAGACGCGATCTTGCTCGTTTTCCATAATTGACATAATCTGATCACAGGCACATTTTGCACACACGTGTCTGCATATATGCAACATATCTCTCCGTGTATGTACGCAGTGGGCCCTTGAGCAGCACTTATGCATGTGTTTTTCTCAGCGAACACCTGCCTGGGTTTGGATCTGCGGTCTGGAGTCCGCAATGCACAGAGGCAGAGCCGGCCACACGCACTGACCCTCAACATGCTGGACAGGGGGCTGAGCACCTTGTACTTATTCACAGGGGTCCTGGCACCAACCCCAGGGGACACTGAGCTGCAACTTCAGTTTCTGAGAGTCTGACTGTCAAATGTATGAGCATCAGTGCCCCTAACCCCCACCCTGTTCAAGGGTAAGCTGCCTATATCTTTGGGGGGAATCGGTACATAATTTACATTTGTATGAAATGATCAAGGTTTCAACCTGTAAGAAAACAAGTGGACTCAGTCTGAAGGTCTGCCAAACAAGGCCAGTGCTTCACCAGGAATGATAACAGGACGATCATAGAACAGCGGCTTTACATAAAAATGCCCCGCTTGGGAGCCTTGAGGTCCTTTGATGAGCTACTGACCCTCTCACAGGCACCAGCTTTCTCTCCTATGCGAGCCGGTGCTGAGAAAGACCCAGGACGCGGCTAGAATACAGGGTCCCTGCAGCTGGTCTCGTTCACAGCGGCACCCACCGCACCCAGGAGGTGCTCGGCCACAGGGGACGCTCCTTAACATGCCAGGTGAGAAAATGAATGAGCACCAGGCAGACGTGGTCCCCATGGCCCACAGCATCCAGGTCTGGCACCCGTGTTATCTGCGTTGCCCCGAGTGAGGCAGCATCGTTCAAGTTATGGAAACGGGTGCCATCACTCGGATCCTGGCTTAGAGCCGACATGGACACACGGGCTGTGTTTAAAACAACGTTTCACGGAGTATCGCTTCATATTACAGAATCCGACAGGGAGCCGTTGCGTCCCCTCAGATGCCTCGATCATGGGACAGGATGCACGCTTTTTTATTTTTAGCTGTGACGTCAGGATGTTTTCAGAACTGTCAAACAGTCGTATGGTTCACGTGAATCGTTTCCTGAGGTGGGGCGTTCTAGCAATGATTCTCTCCTGGCTGAAGCCTCAGGGGCCGGATGTCCCTCCTCGTGCACTGTTTGAACTCATTCGGGGGCCGGCGGCAGACCGAGGTTTCCTGGCCGCCGGCTCCGAGTCATCATTATCCCACAGTCTGTCGGGGCTCCTTACAAATGAAAACAGCACTTCCCTGCTAACAGGGTGACGAGGTCAGCGAGTAATTATCACCTTAAGTGACAACACCAGATCCACTCAACATGCATTAGTGGACGCCGACAATGCCCTGGACGCTGGACATGCCAGAGTACATCTGAGGCACGTTCAAGGGAGTCTTTCTGACAAGTGCCGTACGGCCAGTCCTGCCATTAAAGACCGGGGCTCATTGCACCGATGGGTCACTGAGGCCGGTCCCCCGCTGGCCGGGAGACCAAGGCCGAGGGGAATGCAAGCTCGCACCCGGGGAAACCTGCCAACCCGCTCGTTACTCAGGAAACGGAACACTAACCTGCCTCTTCAGTTCTTACTTTTTCTGAGGGCAAACTGGGTTCTCCACCTCCGATCCTGTTGCTGGCTACAACCCGAAATTCGTACTCCACCCACGGGTTTAACTCGACTACAGTGGCAGTGTGTGTATTCCCATCAATGACCTCAGGCACTACAAAGAGCAAGTCAGAGAGGTCAGAGTCTGCGCGGCTCGGTGCCGACTGGCAATCCACGGACAGGTACCCACGGCATCGGCCTGACCCCTTACCTGTCCTGGCGGCCTGCCAGCCCAAGGAGAAAGGGGTCCTCGCCTGGACGGAATAGGAGGTGATGGGGCTGTGGTTGTCGGGGCCTTCTGTCCAGGACACCTGGGCTGTTGTGTCTGTAATCTCTTCCACCTGCACGTTTCCTGGTGGCCCGGGGGAACCTGGGAAGGCAAGCAGGAGGAGCTAGGCCGCACGTGTCACCCTCTTTTTCCCAAGGGAAGAGCATGCCACGTGAGCACTTAAATACCGCCAGAATCCTGATTTCAAAGGCACTTACAGAAAAGGCTATTTACCTGTAATACCGCCCCCCCCCCACTTCTGTTGTTAGGCCTTAAATCTGACTGTGAGGCAGTCATTCCGAAATCGGGATGCCTCACAGCGGCACATGACGCCTGCTTTTGAGGCCCCAGTTCAGAAGGATTTCTGCACTTTTTCAAACTCAATGTTTTTGCTTTGGGCGGGGTTCCCACTCCTGCCACCACTGGGCACATCACAGTCGTCCCAGAAGGTCATCTGGGCTGCTGTGCTCTGGGAGACATGTGGGTCATTTCAGCCCAGCAGCAAATCAGCACCTTGGAGAGCAGCTCAGGTCCCCTAGGCCAGTGGTCAGCAAACTGCGGCTCTCGAGCCACATGCGGCTCTTTGGCCTCTTGAGTGTGGCTCTTCCTAAGCCTTAGGAGTACCCTAATTAAGTTAATAACAGTGTACCTACCTATATAGTTTAAGTTTAAAAAATTTGGCTCTCAAAAGAGATTTCAATCGTTGTACTGTTGATATTTGGCTCTGTTGACTAATGAGTTTGCAAACCACTGCCCTAGGCGATCAGGATGACACTGATTCTTCTGGAGTTTCCATACACATGCACACACAAGTACACACATACACACACAAAACACATATACACGTCTACACGCACCACACACGCACGTGCACACACACGCGCGTACATGCACACACGACGATTCCCTTTCATATTAAACTCGATCACTGACTTCACTACATGCTCACAGCACATCAGCTGAGCAGTTGCTGTGCTAAAGCTATACGGAGGGTGGAGTTGAAATTTTTACTTCTTTGAATTTGCACCCATCCTTACTGTCACATTCTCAGGGACCAGGGGACAAATCAACATTAAAATCGCACGCTCCTCTGCCCCCTCATCCTGGTTTCGCTGCAGGGAGAAAGGCCCAGGGAAGATGTTCAATAAGAAACACGGTGGCATCGGCGTTTACCTCTCACTACAAGGTCAGCGGCCGAGGAGACACTGTCCACCGCACTCTGCACCACGCAGACGTACTTCCCCCCGTGCTTCAGCTGGATGTTCCTGATCATTAGATCGCCCGATGAGCTCTGTGGGAATAAACACGCAAGGAGCACACTTTTATTCTGCAAACACAAGGAGGAGACCTGTATCCAGAGAGAACACGTCGGGGAGATGAAGACCGACACCCCAGAACGTATGGAAATAGGAACAAGAGGGTGAAAACCACGCAGGAGACAGAGGGGAAACCGCCAGGCCTGCAGACAGATTTCCATGGCTGAAGACCAGCTTTCCTCCGGGCATTTATGTTTCAAAAATAAATGAGGGCAGAGGCTATGGTCTCAGAGTCTATTTCCTCCCACCAGGTGACACTTCTCTTTATAGCCA